CGGGCGGGAGCGCCGCCGCGCTTCCCAAGCGGCGCACTATCCAGTGCACCACCGGGCCGGCCCCGTCCCACTTCATTTCTGTTCTTACAGTGACTACAACTGGGTGCTCTATTTCCCTGCACATCCCCCCAGGGCCTTAGCTGCACAATGCAGTTTGCCTCTAAAATTAATCACCTCAAGAAGCCAGGCTACACCTTTCGGATTTTTTTTTTTTTTTAATAAAGATGACTGGTAAGGGGATCTCAACCCCTGGCTTGGTGTTGTCAACACCACACTCAGCTAGTGAGCCAACCAGCCATCCCTATATAGGATCCGAACCCGTGGCCTTGGTGTTATCAGCACCACACTCTACCGAGTGAGCCACGGGCCGGCCCACACCTTTCGAATTTTTAAGCCTGCTTTCTTTCACATTCTTACGGGCACTTTCCTACTGCTTTAACATCATCAGTTATCCCCTTTGCTACTTTCACTGTACCAATCCCTAAGTTGTTTCCAGGGGCAGAAAGGAGAAAATCAAATACATTAGAACCTTGACTAACTTAGGTATAAATAGCTTCTAAATGACAGGCGGAAGGACCTACTACATACAAAGTTGGTTGGCATCTACTTTGTTTTCTTATGGCAGAGGTTACTACAAAAGAATCCTCCTGAGTTCCAGTCAAGATAGCGGAACAGATGGTCCCCAGCATCATTCTCTCCTAGGAATCAACCAATTTACAACTATAAAAATGTAACATCAGCCAAGCTGGGGCTGCTGGAGCTCATGGGAAAAGGAGGAGAGACCTATGGAGTTCATGAAGGTGGGAGAAACAATGATGAGAGAAAGAAAAAACTTCTCTGAGCATTTCAGGCCGTGGCCACTTTAATGCTGGAGTTGCTGAGTGCATGGAACAGGAGCCAGCAGAAGCTGCAGTTGTGCCCTTCAGATGGAGTTACGTGGAGGTGGCAGGGGAGAAGAGAGCCTTGTTAGCCCCCAGGACAGAAAGACCACTGTGGACTCACGCAGGAGTGAAGAGCCAGAACAGCTGAAAAGGGGGAGCCATTCAGAGGCCAGTAAGTCAATGCAAGGGATTGGTGTAGGGCCTGTTCCATGGGAAGTGTTTGGAGCACTGGCTGTGGGGGAGACACCCACCGCCACAACTAGGCATTCCACACCAGTGCTTCAGGGCCCGCCTGGGGACCCGAGGCATGGTGAAGGGGACCAGACCCCCCTCCCACAACCAGGCAAACTGCGTCAGCGCTCCAGGGCCCACCCAGGGACCTGAAGCATTGAGCCAGGGACCGGACTTTCCCCACAACCAGGCACACCACCAGCACCAAGGAGCATACCAAAAACATCACCTCCACGTGGGTGGCCCACCACAGCCACCACAATAACCATGGCTGCCACGAAAGCGGCTGGAAGCCACGACCACCAAACCGATGGTCCGCCAGCCACTGGAGTGCACTGACACAAAGAGAGTCACCAGCAGAGATAAAGAAAAGAAGAGGACGTCTCTCTTCACAAAGCCCATTGCAGAGTAACAGAAGAAGCATCTGCTCTACAATAATATTGGGGGACCTGATCACACCTGTCAGCACTGGACAGATC